AGTATAGCCGAAAGCGCTCGGAAAAACAGAACATTCGGACAGTTCTTACACACTCTTTGTCCAGAAAAGAAAGCTCTTGTCAGAACACAAGAAAAATTAAATAAAAAGCTCAACTGTAGTACCTTGTCTGTCGTTTTTAACGAAACATGCATAAAGGAAGGATTGCTACCTAATTATACAAATATATAAATATATATACATATATATAAATATATACATATATATATATTTCTTCATATATATATATGTATGTATGTATATATATATATATATATATATATATATATACACAAATATATATGTATATATATATATATAAATACACACACACACACACACACACACACACACACACACACACACACACACATATATATATATATATATATATATATATCCGCATAAACGAAACAGCTTTCAGAATAAATGATTTAAGGTCTCTTGGCATCTGATGATATAATTAACATTTTTTTCATTTCCCTTAAGTGATAGATGTTCAGTAAATGACCACTGAGTTGTTCTACCACTTATAAGCACCGGTCTTTTCCACATTGTTTGTTTCCTGACTTCAATGATGCCATTGTCTATGGAAATGGACTAAAAACGTCTCTGAACAAATTATATGATGATGATGTCTCAAACTATGTAACGGGAAGACTATCAATGTCGTTTAATTTGGAAAATTAAACAAAAACTGCAAATTATTCTTCCTCAACTTACAGGGGATAGGTTTAAAACATTGATGATATTTAAGCTGAGATTTCCCGGGATTTTAAATGCACTGCAATCCTCACAGCCCATAAAGCAGGAAAAAACAAACAAACATACAGCTAGTATCGCACTAAAACGAATATAGCTCACATGTGGTGAACAGACAGGCATCACCAGGATGTGATTACCCTAGCGTTAACCTTCCAAAGGAATCACGGCCCTGGAATTATGATAGAAACGGCCCAAACGTCCGGGATTAAGAAATATAAAAAAATGTACATATACATTAGAGATATGAATGCAAATATCTACAAAATATGCGATCCTTAAAAGTAAGAATAATATTCAAATCGTGTCTCAATTTATGAAGATCAGCCGCAAAATATAATTTCCGCTGAAAAGAAAAACGCGGAAGCGATTATAACATTCCGTGGATTTGTGGCAAGGAATATAAAGGGGAAAACAAAAACTCTTCAACATGTCATTTGGAACGTCGTAATGCTGTAACACGTAGAAACCAACTCAGCTGTAGCTGAACATGAATGTCGAATGTATGGTGGCCGCCAACCTATACAGAAATTGAAATAAAACAAAAGTAACAGAATTCCTCAAAATGGGGTAATATAGCAATAACTGTCCGGATATTCCACGGATAGTTTCGACAGTTTCGATCAGCTAATTCAATTCCGGGAATTTTTCACGACCAAAATCTGTAAATATTGCCGGAAACAGTTCAGGTACTGAGCTGAAATAATTCTGTAAACCAAGGTTATAAATATTTTATAGAAACCAAAAAAGTAGCAATTCTCCTCACCCTTAAAAAGTATATACAAGAATATACTGAGGGCTTCACTGGGAATTCTCAGGATTCATAAGTAGGGGAAATAAATCACTACCGAAATTTACGAGCGCAGACAACGTTATCTACGGCTTTGCATATTATTTAAAGCCAGAAAATATTTTAGATATTTTTAAGATAATAACGTTTTACTAATTAGGTTTTTACTAAACAGGTTTTACTAAACAGGTTTTACTAAACAGGTTTTACTAAACACGTTTTACTAAACAGGTTTTACTAAACAGGTTTTACTAAACAGGTTTTACTAAACACGTTTTACTAAACAGGTTTTACTAAACAGGTTTTACTAAACAGGTTTTACTAAACACGTTTTACTAATTAACCTACAGCGGATTTATCCAATGTTATTTCCCAAGGTTATTTATGCGTAAGTGAACATAACGAACACCATGGCAATTTGAACTCGGCTATTTGATTGACAATTCTGAGCCATTAACTATTACACTACCTGCACGCCCAAGCTTAAAACACCAGGTATTCCCAAGCGATCACTCCTCTAGGTACTGGCCAGGACGTTGCTTAACTTCAGTGTTCGTACGGCAAGCGGAGTTTCAACGAGATGAGGCCGTAAGCCAACGGCAGCATCGGATGTAACGTGTGTGGGAGATGAAGAACATGCAACGAAAAAACGCAACATACAGAAATGAAGGAATACTGGAACGCTGAGCATCCATTTGAAAAAATAAGACGATAATATAAAATTAACGCTCAATACTGAGATTAAACAATATATCACACACTAGATTTCTATTATAACTAATATACCTATAATAAAAATATATAAGGCTTCATACAATCGATACAGTATTAAATGTTCTCATGGAAGCTATTCAAAAATGAGAATCGCTTTAGTTTACGAATAATAAAAATATCTGAAACAAGCATAGCATATGTTCTGTAATACCTGCCTATAGAAAATTTCATACAACAGTCAGTAGTCGAATCGTAAGTAAGATTACATGCGCCACATATATAGTAATTATATCATATCTCGAAGTAATCATTTGAGGGTACTTTTACAGTAAATTTACTATTAATATTTACTTTCTAATATATTTCGGTCTTTTTGATTATTAATTAACAACACAGTGTGTATCGATTTCCCCAATTGAAATGAGTGTGTAGCAGCTCCACACTAAAAGCACTTTATGCTGTATAAATTCAAAAATGTCACTTCAGGGATCAAAGTGTCAGATAACTTAGAAATAACTGTCCGGAAATGCCACTGACAGTTTCGACAGTTTCGATCGGGTAATTTAGTCCTGGGAATTTTTCACGACCAAAATCTGTAAATATTGTGATTCTGAAGACCGTAGTTAAGAGACTTTCTGGGCAAACTACAGAGGAATTACTAAAACTGATCAATGTAAGTTACACTTCATGAACTCAAAGGTCAGTGGCTTTTCCTATTCATCTAACTCTTCATTAGCTTAACAAAGAGCAACCCTCTGTACATCATAGAAAACTAGACTTGTTATCGAACCAGTCCTGTATAGAATTATCGGCAATCATGAAAAGTGGGTTCTTTATTAGGCACATAAAAGATATATATATATATATATATATATATATATATATATATATATATATATATATATATATATATATATATATATATGTATCAATAAACGAGACCTAAGTCCTTGTATAGTGGAGAACGTATGTTTTCATATAATGAAACACATAAAATTATGAAATACAAAAGCAAACGGAAAAGTTAATGCGGTTAAATATTTACATTAATTGGAAGCATTGCACAAAAATTACAGAAAAGAGCCAATCATTGGCTAATCATAAGGGCGTGTCGCACTTATGCAATATCCAAAAACAGTATATTGCCGAGTCTCTAAATCAAAAATGATTACCCGAAATTTGGAAGTTTTGCCTAGTCCTTCTTACTCTCTGACTTGGCTAGAGTCACCTATCGTCGTTACAGATCACTGCCACATTTCTTTGAGGGAATAATTCCTTTATTGTGATGTGATTAAAACTGATATTGTGTGATTTCTGTCGGAAGAAGTGGGATGAGAAGTTTTCATTATTTTTACCTCGTTTTTTTTGTTATCTTTATGTTATGATCACAAGATTTTAGCCGTTGTACTCAATGGCTTCCTTCGGATGCATGTCGATCCGGTTAAACTGTGGTATTTGAAAGTAATGCTTTATTTACGACGTTTGATTATTCTCAACATGTCCACGGATATCTCGTATGGGTCATATTGTTCTCCCCGTTTATACTAAGACAAAAACATACTGCTCAGTTCACGGATTGATTTATCTTGCAAAACTATTATAATTATGTTATTAATAACGATGTGAAGTATTATATTGATTAATATATAAATGAAAACCAGAGAAACATTTGTTTCTTTTTTTAACATCAACTGCGATTTTTTCCAACCTAATATTTGTAAAATAGAAACAAATCTGATCTCCCAGCAAAAGCAATAAAGCTAATAAGATGAAATGTGTAAGAATAACGATTAAGAATGCAGTTAATTTTTAAAGATCAAAGTTTATTAAAAAGCAAAATGCCGGAAACAAATCCCACAAACGAGAAGTACGAGAAAATAAACTCTTAGCATACAACTTACAGATACAGAAAAGACAGAAAATGCACACTATTTGCAAGGACATATGGCACAGTGGATAAAGGCGTTGGTTAGATCCAGTGGCAGGACCCAAAGAGTGTGAGTTCAATACCAGGTTAAAGCAGTGGAGAACTTGGAGAGGGGAATTAACAGGAGATAACTGACATCCATTAAACATGGCACGTGGAACTAGAACAGTCTACTCTAGTTAGCGAAATAAAGGGTTCAGTTCGACATTCCATCCACCTGAAGAAGTCCGGAGATTAAAATGTTGTAATAAATATGGCGACAAAGATGAGGACAATAGTCCGAATAATGTAAATAGTGTATATAATACCTCATCTCAGAAATATAGACAGAAACTATTAGAATAGAACGTGCCGTTTCATTTAGGTAATTCTACAGTAAAACGGTGAGACCTAATTGCCAATCTAGTAGTAAGTTTAAATTCACGTGATCAAGGCACCAAGGAGGAAAGCTCGTGAGAGTAATTAATATGAAAATAGTTATAGGAAATATATAGTGGCGAGACGTCAAAGCGGTTGAAAATTGTATGTGTAACATATTACAAAGTTATTATTTGCGTTAGAAAAAGGAAATGAGTGCTGAAATTAATTGCTGAAGATGTGATATCAATACGTCTATTCATCAATGGGTACTGGAAAATTCCCTTCCAAATGAAGAGTCATCTATTTAAATCAAATATTGTTCTCTGCAAAGTACTAAATTCCTCCTACCATGTTCTATCTTTAGATAAGTTTGATTAGACCAAAACTAGAATATTGACTATATATCTGGGTTTTGGAACTGCCCAGTATTTACTTTCTAAACTTGATGGTATACAGGAAACCCCCATTTCCGTCCGATCACCGAAGTTAAGCAATGCCAAGCCTGGTCAATACTTAGATGGGTGGCCGCTTGGGAATAACAGGTGCTGTACGCTTGGATATACGGGTAGTGTAATGAATAACGGCCCAGAATTGTTAACTAGAGAGCCGCATTTCAATTCCAGCTGGTTTCCTTATATTCACTTATTCCCGAGTATCCATGGAAAAGGTATGAATCCACATTTTATCTCCCACCTATGGATTAATTAGTAAGACTGGTATTACTATTCATTATTATCCCAGAAAAAAACAAAAAAAAAACCTAAAAAACATTCATCAAAAATATTTAGATTTCGTTATTAAATAACCCATAGATGTGTTGATATGTTGCTAAATAAAAACAATAAAGCGACTAAGTTTGATAGTTCATAAGAAGTTTATTTTGGTGAAGGAACAATTTTACTTTGTGGAAGAGACCGATCTTAAACCTTTCCAGTGTAGGTCAAACATTATCTATCCTATATATACCAGACTATGAGCTTCTTAATTCCTCCTCGTACGTCCTTACAACAACATCATTTAGGAATTCTCTACCTTGAGTTGATCTTGAGACTTGTATTCTGTGAACAATGCTATATAATAAAAGAAAGCGCGACGTGGAAGATTTATGGAAAATGTAAACGAAAATGACACTTTGATTCGAATCAAAAAGTGACAGCGAACTCTCTGGTAGACATACAGCGAGAGGAGATCAAGAGGTATATTATACTCACAAGATATGATATGGGCTAAGTCGGGTGGAGAGTAATATCGAGTATCCTAACTAAAATAAAATATTTGGTGGTAGAACAGGGACTAGAGAGACTATAAGAAAGAAAACATTGCTTAGAACGACAAATCACTGTAAGTAATAGAGAGCTATAACCCGTTACGTCCTGAAGAGAGACGGTATATATATATATATATATCCAAGTTCTGTGTTTGAAAAAATTTACACAACATTAGAGGCTTGTTCTCTTAAAATACCAACAAAATGTATCAATTAAAAAAACCGTCAATTCATTAATCTCATAAGATTTTGTCCCTGTTTTAAGCACGTATATTTGTCTCAAAGTATAACACTTTTTTAAATACCTGTAGAAGGATAACTATATGGCCATGCAAGACACGCCAATATAACGGCAAGAAATATGCATCCACATGTCACTATAAGCCAACACACGCACATATTTAGTGATAACGTGAATAAATAGCAATGTAAATGGAAGCGAGTTTTAATAAGCAAACGCTTTGAAGAAATTTGGCAAAAAGAAAACAAAAACGGGTTCTATTCGTTCTGAAAGCGAAGAGCCTGGCAATATCGTATGATCTGAGGGGAGGCGCTGATCAATTCCCTTTTGTGAGCGGTTAAAGATTGAAAGGATTTTTGCATGTAATTGGCGGGGTCTACGCTCCGGTCTTTCGGCAAATAGCCAATGCTCTGCAAGAGAGCAAAGGACATCAAAGGCCGGCTTTGTTGTCGCATAAAACATAACCATGAGTTATAGGCTGTATATAGACACACATTCATGTATATGATATAAATTTAGTTTTGTACACACTCACAGATACACACAAAAATATGAGTGAATGCATGAAGTTTTAGACTTCCGTATGTATGTATGCATCTATCTATCTATCTATCTATCTATCTATCTATCTACATACACACACACACACACATACATATATATATATGTGTGTGTGTGTGTGTGTGTGTGTGCGTGCGAATTTATGCATTACAGCATAAATCGATATTTTTTGGAGACACATAAGTATGTGAATCTCTCTCTATTTCTCCATCTCTCTCTCTATCTATCTATCTATATATATATGGATAAATACATATATATATATATATATATATATATATATATATATAAACACAAAACATACGCAGACACACACACACACATATATTTTTATACATATTCTTTAGAGATATATACAAATGTGAAGCTCTTTCTCTCTTTCTTTTTTTCTCTCTGTCTCTCTCTGCTACATATATAGAAACACGCACATATATGTAGATATAATATATATATATATATATATATATATATATATATATATATATATGTAAAACATAAAAGGCAGGATGTGTGTGTGTGTGTCTGTGTGTGTGTAACGAATGTACGGCCGCAATTTTCGACAGATTTGCACCAAAATTTACATGCACATGCTCCAAGTTCGCGGGAAGGCTAAAACCGACTTTGCATTTCCCAACTCACATCAATAGTGGAAATAATGGATTTTTTCATGCTTCTACGGCAGTTTTCATGTAGTTTGCGGCCATTCTGTACTGTTCAGAGTGAGAGACCATAGCTGGCTGCCACGAATAGGCAGGAAGATTCTATTGGGCAGCGTGAGAGCCAACGGGCTGACTGACATGAAAAATTGATAGCTGCATTCTTTACAAGTGGAAAATTTTTTAATCTGCATGGCACTTTACTTCAATTGGCTCATTCGCTTGCTTAAACTCAACGTTGATCCTGATTCCGCAGAACTGGGTTGAGTGTGAAAAAGTATTTGTTGTTAACATTCTTTTTTCATTCGGTTTTTTCAGTTACGAGTCCTTTTTTAAAGCTGATCATTTTGTTTCGTTCTTTTTCCGTGAAAGATTTAATGTTTAGTATCGAGCTTAGAAAAAAATTCGAAGTGTGAGATAGGCAAGAAGCAAGGCCTGTAGCAACACCAGCGCGGGAAAGGGCACTCCTTTAAAGGCAAGGAAGGGCAAAAATATTTTGAGTCAAGTGATAGCGATTTCTGTATGAGTCGTGCGATTTTTGAATCAAGCACGGGCAACGCCGGGCCATGATGCTAATATATATATATATATATATATATATATATATATATATATATATAGGTGTGTGTGTGTGTGTGTGTGTATTGTTTTGTATATATTTGGGCTCTGCATATATTTCTTTATATTTATAGATACATATCTTTAAATAAATGTTTTGTTTATAAGAAACAGCATGAAAAACATTTACCAGACTTAATATATAAGAAATTAAATAGGAAATGTATGTCCTCACCCGTGTATCCTACATAGAGCCGTCATATAACCTGACGTGCTATACCATTCATTATATATATATATATATATATATATATATATATATATATATATATAAACGTTATTCTTTGCCATCCCTGTATTTTCTATTTTGTTGATCAGTGAATCGACAGGCCTACATCGCGAAGTCTTACTAAAAAAAGAAAAAAATATTCCTCCCTCAACGTGGCCAAATCGTATCTCCTTTTTCTTCCATCAGGTTAACCACAATGTCTGATGCCAGCAGCTGCTGACTTTACCATGCTAGCCCGTCGTGATCACGATATATATATATATATATATATATATATATATATATATATATATATATAATAACAAAATATATTTTAAGGTTTGTTATATTTATCATTTAAATGTTCAATCAGTTACAGGTGCACCGAAACCTTAACATAAATAATAAAAAAGCACAACAGGATAAAATTGTATACCACTTGCAGAAATTAAACCCATGTGTAACTGCAGGGCAATGAACGAAAGCCCCTTAAACGGCAATTGCTTGCGGAACAATATAATATCCCAAGTCACTGTAAAATCAGCAGAGAACGAAGAAAAATAAACAGTTTTGATTCATTGTGGCATTCAATGCAGAATAGTGTAATGACTTGACGGACTTTTGCACCGGGTATATTGAGTTTACCCCGTCAATGTCTACAAGCCAGCAGGTGTTTTGAATTTAGAGTTTTCTTCCCATAATCTGGTGATGTTTTATAGAGACTATACTTTGCCGTGTCTACATGCCTCCAGCCCCACCTCTAGGCCACACAGACAAGATCCAAAAGGATAAAGGTTATTACACATGGGGTTAGCTTGACTGTAGGAGTTGTCGGAAAGTTGTTAATGTTAACAGTTATCAGGATTGCAGTTCTGGTTTACTGTCTGTATTAATTCCATAGACCTTTGCCGTATATTGGCTATGATCACAGGTTAAAAATTAGGGTTTACTTTCCCCTGGATGTATTGCGTTCCTTGGCTATCCAGATGCATCTGCCTGAAGCAGCTGCCCAGGTGGCGCGAGTTTACCGCATTCGTACATTCTCCTGTATGAAGCTATTTATAGAAAATGGAAACTTGTCCCAACTATTACCTCTGGTAATAACAAACTATTATGGACGTATATACGCATTTACCTAATTACGAGTTTCGGAATCTTTCAAAAATAATTAATGGGTTTTAAATATATAAAACCATAGGTAAAAAAGCTAGAAATTAGACGATTAAAGTGGACACACAAACACACACACACACACACACACACACACACACACACACACACACACACACACACATGTGCATATCTATATATATATATATATATATATATATATATATATATATATATATAGATAGATAGATATATTTCAAGCTATATGCAATCGTCAGGCCACATATGTGGCCTGACGATTGCATATAGCATGAAACAGACTATCGTCTCTAAGTGTTGACTTCTATGTTCACTTTTATATTTACACAAGCTCTATCTCTGATATTGAGCACTTTATTCCATAAATATAGCACACCTTAAGACTATATTTCTTTATATATATATATATATATATATATATATATATATATATATATAGAGAGAGAGAGAGAGAGAGAGAGATAATGTGCAAAGGTAACAGATGCGTTGGTATATAATCTAAGGGAATCCTAGTAATATAAAATATTAAAACTGATCCACAAAAAGAGCTCAATAGATTTATTATTACAGAGAAATATGATTAATAAACAGTAAAATCCAAAATTACCTCATACCAAATATCCTATTTGGGCAGAGGAAGATATCGATCGTCGGTCTTGTTAACCCTGATGTGGACTGAGTTCGTTTCAGAAATTTGAAATTTAACTGTGAAAGCTTAAAAAAAAAACGACGATAAACTAATACAGAATTTATCCATTTCAATGTTTCAGTCAGACGAAAGGCATGAGACAGTGGCCAGGGGAGTGTGGAAGGTATTTGTCTTAAAGGGAAGAAGTTTTATAAAATTAAAC